TATATATATATATATATATATATATATATATATATATATATATATATATATATATATATATATATATATATATATATATAAATCTTTAGAAACATGCACCAACCCTTTTAGATATTTTTCAATCCTCACCAATATAAAATGTTTTCCAATCTTTTAGCCCCTTCAGCATCAAAAATAATACATCGTACCTCCACAGCAGCAAACCACGTGGAGTTATTGTCCCGGAAAAAAATAACCATAGCTTGAATTCATTCTGAGTTCGTAATAAATTGGTCTTTGGCGGCGAGCTGCAGATCAAGTTTTGCCGAATACTAATTTGCGTCTTCGTCTGAGTGTTGATGTAACTCAGCGTGTGATTGTCCCCACAGCGGAGCCGCATCCTCTTTGATGAAGACGCTTGTAAAAAAAGGGTCTGTGACTGTTGAACATGTGGGTGTGCAGTGACAAACAGCCACTGGGGTCCCATGCCAACATCACACTCCTCCAAAATATGAAAAGATTGAAAAATCTTTGCTATTACTTCTGCCTGAGCCCTGAAAGCCACAACAATATTTGGTTCATCACAAATTTATTTTCCCTGTGTTTTTAAAAACCTACTTCTAAATTGTTAATAAATAAATATAATTTTCGATTATAAAAATATATATTGTGAATCTAATTCAAGTAATTAATACACATCAGTATGCAAGTAACCTAAAAAGAATACACATACAATACAAAAATATTACTTAATACAATAGTGTGCTTGTTATAGGTGCCAGAACAAATCTTCTACTCCTTCCCAAGAAACGTCATTTGTGTGGCACTACAGTTAAAATAGCGTTCAAGATAGCATACATCATGATCTGTTCTCTCTCTGAAAATAACATTTTAATTGTTTCGTGAGCCTCAACTTCTCTTTAACATTAAATAGCTCTTCTTGGCACGTACTTGATGTGACTTTGAAATGAAATGCCAAATGTGAATCGTGACACCTCCGCTGTTGTGACATTCATAGCTCCTTGCGTCTTTTTTCTCAGTAAAACAGATGATTAGATGACGACAAGGACACACACAGTGCTTGAATGTCCACAGATCCACCCCACCAGCATTTGCTTCAGATTAGACCCGAACACATCCGGGCGTTTACAGGTTTATTTTGGCACAGCATTCTGGTCAATACTGTCCTCTGGTATGTACACATTTGGACAAGAGCCTTTGTGAGGCTTCTCAGAGCCTGTCAAAAAGGGGTTATTGACTTTGAACACATTGTTAAGATAAGTGGGCCATGACCTGTGGGCACCATGCCCATTTTCCCTGCTTGACGAACAGCCCGAGTTTAAGGACATGCCCACTTAAGAGTCTAACAGGGATGGAGAGTGCAATTATTGGTCTGAATGCTGCATTGTACAACTGGCAATTAAAAACTGAACCTTATATTGATGTAAAAAAGCACCATAATGCACCATCTTGAATCTATTTTTGATAATTGGCTGCTGCTTGCATAAACAGACTCACTGTACACACAGAGCTAATTTAAAGAAAAATTGCCAGCTACTATTTCATATTTCGAATGCATGTTTATTTTCAGAATGACCTAGTGATAAATTTGAATTGGAATATATAGTTATATTTATCTATATGAATGCATAAACTAAATTTAGATACAAATGTGACCATTTTAATCTGACATCTTCTGTTATTGCGCTGACAATAAATCACTCAAATAGTTTATAACAGTTAATTATCACAGCAAGGCGTCTTCAGTGAAGTAACAGGCAGCAGAGGATGAGCGCGCTCACAGAAGAACAGAGCTGAGAGCGCGCGGAGGTTGTGGCACAGCAACCAGCTGTGAATTACTTCCACTGAATTTATGAAAATTGAACTTTAAAGTGCATAACAGATTTACTACATGACACCGGACCGCACGAGTGCGTGACGCGAAGAAAATGTGGCGAGGTGTGCGTTTCTGGCAACAGTTGAGACTTTTAAACCGGCTGTATTTCGCTTCCCTGAGAGGAAATCTGGATCTGGAGAAATAATATTTTACCGTCCTTATTTACTATAGCACTGTACTTCACTGTTTTGATGAAGCTGCAGATTTGTTCCCCACGTAAAACGCCTCAGGAACAGAAACGCGCGATGTTTATTCGTTTTGGGGAGCTTTGGAGCGTTTAGGGTCTCTTCCGAGGTAACAACTGCGCGTCAAAGGACTCAGACCTACTCCAAGATGTGCCCAGGCGACGCCGCACCGAAACAACGCACTGAAGGATCACTAAAGGAAGCTGGAAAGCTTTTCTTGAAGCACACGACCTTTCACGGATTGAGACACGTCTTTCTGAGCGGCTCGTACCCGCGCAGAGTCGCGTGGCTGCTGGCGTTTCTAACGGCGTTAGCGCTGCTTTTCACTTGGTCCTCTAACCGGGTCCGATACCTGCTCTCGTCGCCGGTGTACAGCAAGGCGCATATGGTTTACGCGAAACGCCTCGTATTTCCCGCCGTGACGATTTGCAACCAGAACATCTTACTGCCGCGTCGTATGAAGAAACCGGACCTCTTTAGCGCGGGACGGTGGCTTGGTCTCTTCGGGAAAAACTGGCAGGTGTCCCCCGCGGTTCGAGAAGCACTTACATCGCACGTTGACGGAACTAATAATGAGCCTCCCTGGTCACCTTTCTCTCGCATATTGGACTTCAATCACTTTCTGCCTCCTCCTCGAGACTCGCAGCCCTCAATGAGGCATTTACTGGACCGTCTGGGGCATCAGCTTGAGGAGATGTTGCTTTATTGTCGATTTCAAGGGCAACTGTGCGGACCGCGCAACTTTAGCACCGTAAGTGCATTTAACTTCACGATAACACTACAATTATATCGAACGAGATGACAAATTCTCTCTTGCACTTGTTTAATTATGAGTTACGCTTTGTTTGTCATAGCATACTGCAGTATGCAAATGTGTCCTCTGTGCACCATGCATATTTGAACGTTTGTTTTAATCTAATTTAATGCGAACTTTAAAAGTATGTTCATTTGTATGCTGATTGGCCTACTGTGTGGAATACTATACCCCACAATGCACTGCTTCTTCACCTTCCATTTCCAATATAAGACTAATTAACTGCACACTCTAAAAAATGCTGGGTTAAATACAACCCAGTGCTGGGTAAAATAGGGACAAACCCAGCAATTGGGTTGTTTTGACCCAGCGGTTGGGTTACTACCCAGAAGGTTGGGTTAAAGGGGTCATATGATGCTTTTTTAAAGATCATTATTTTGTGTATTTGGTGTAACAGAATATGTTGACATGCTTTAATGTTCAAAAAACGCATTATTTTTCAAATACTGTACATTATTGTAGGTCCTCTATGCCCCGCCTCTCTCAAATGCTTCGTTTTCTACAAAGTCCCTCCTTCCGACAAGCGCAGTCTGCTCTGATTGGCCAGCTGACCCAGTGCATTGTGATTGGCCGAACACCACAAGCACTCGTCGGATAATCGCAAGCTTCATCTTTCAAAATAAATGTAGACAGAGCCCGAAAGGGGAACAGAGTCCTGTGACAGACACAGTGATGAAGCTGGTATGCGTGCAGTACACAAGCCATGGTTAAGACAGCTGACTCCACTGTGATGTGACCCAACCCCCCTCCCCCCCCCTCTCGCTCGTGCGGCATTATGCAAATATTTCCACATAGTGAGGTAGATATGTGGGGGCGCGTTAGAACGAGCCGTTTTAGGGGGGCGTGGCAGAGTCTTAACTTTGATAAAGAATATATCTTTGGTTTTGAGACTGCAGTCTTTGCAACTTCAGGGATCTTATCTATGCACAATCAGCTTGTAACACTCCAAAGAGAAAGGAAAACATGAAATCGCATCATATGACCCCTTTAAACATTTAACCCAACCGCTGGGTCAAAACAACCCAATTGCTGGGTTTGTCCCTATTTTACCCAGCACTGGGTTGGATTTAACCCAGCATTTTTTTTAGAGTGCAAGTAAATTCAGCTGCAATTTTAATATCTCTCTTTTTGACTCTGCATTGACTTACATGCTGTACAGTATACACTGAATATTGCCTACTACTTTAAAAATAGTAAGTGAAACCGTTGGCATTGTTCCACAAACACTGTTGTTACTGTTGCAGTATATAGCCTAACACATGTACTAACACATGTAATGTGAAATCTACATTTGTCCAAAATGTGCAGTATGCAAGAGCACGCTCCTCATTAACACATCATTAAATAAGGCGTCCCACAATGTAATGCACTTGACCTTTTAATTTCCAGTGAGGCAAATGAACAGGAAAGCTCTATCGACTGCATTTTAAATATCTCCATGATATGATCAAACTGCCAGATTCAAAATACAAAATAACTATTTTGAAAAATGAACTCGCTTTTTCTTTTTTTAAACCAATTGCTGGATTATACATACAAAAATAAATAGGTCATGTGACAATGTATGAAATATTTATCATTGCACTCTTTATCATGCTACTGCACTAACATGGCCTTAGTCTTGACCCCATTTATCTAGATGACTGCTTGGATTTAAGATGGAATGTCAAGTTGTTTAGGTCATTGTGTTGTGGGATGTTCTTTAGTATACTTCATTTTTTACATTTATCGCTTTGGGTAATTGTATTTATGTCAGTAAACAAACACAATGCCAGTTTAATGTCATGTTGAACACATTCAGCAATGTGACTTCTGGGATATTGAGCTTGATATATTGCATCACGAGTCGCTCAGCATCCCAAGAGCCTTATCTGCAATCTCCTCGCGTCCAGGTCTCACGTAATTTAGCTAAATGTATGCACTGCGTTGCATTTGCCGTAGAAATTACAATCTGTCATTTTGTCGAGGGCAATGCCCTGTGAATGTCTTTATTCTTCATTCTGCATAATAATAGCATTGCTAGTATGTGAGTATAGAAGCAAAAAAATTATGAGACACCGTCAAGGTGTGTATTGGGGAAATTATTACTGGATTTATGTGACTCGTTTCTTTTTACCACTTCGTCTTGCATTATTTTTTTGGGGAAATTGCTGGTGTTCAGCATGAATCATTTGGCTGTTGGGCTTGAAACACTTTGACTTGATTTGTAGTTCAGCATCAATGCAGCTACTGTGGTAGAAGGTCACTTTCCCTGTGGGCTTGTTTCTATTAAGTCAATACACACACCTTGCTTTAAACATCTACCATGTAGACACCCAACTTTTTCTCTGTAATTCCACTTTTTCTATCCCCCGTTCACACATGAGCGGAGTCACTTTGTCTAATTCAATTGCACCATCTTTGCATGAGCAGAAAGAAGCTAAGTCAGTCGCAATGGTCTATACAGATACACTTTTATTTAAATTGCATCTATCTTGTACTATCAGCACACTGGAGTTTGAGATAGAAGCGTCAGTCGAGCTTGAAGTAAACTGTAATTATCCTCCAGTTCTCAACCACTCTGAATTTCTTCTCTAAGTAAAAGGAAAATGTATTTTTTGAACAGTGTGGTGCTCTGTTTAAGTGAACACTATTGGTAGGAAGGGGTTGTAGTTGAGTTTGATGGATTTTGAGTATTTTAGCTTTGTTGCATTTTGATTGTACACTTAGTTGACAAAAATAACTGGAAAAGTTATGGAAATTCAATGGTTAAATATGTTTATTATTGTACATGTTATACTTTGTAACACTGGAATATAATATTATAATAACATAATAAAAGTATCTACCTTGAGATGAAGCGTGGTACAGAAATTTCATAAGGTGTCTTTAAATTATTACATAGTCCATTTCCTGAATCATTTATAGTGTTCGTCCTTCCTCATATTTTCCGACATGTCTTCAGTTGAATTTTTCATATAAAAACAATTTTCTCAGTTGTTTCAAATGGGAGAGAATTTGAATGAAGATGGACATCTCAAGGAAAAAGCTACTTGTCTGCTGCAGATAGATTGGATCATATTGAGAGTCAATGAGCCTTTACTAGCTCCAAAGGCTGGAGTCCAGTGTGGAGATCTATTTGAGAGGTTGAGCAGAGATGACATTGAGAGATTGGAGCCTGTGTTCCTGTCCACAGGCAGGCCACTGACAGATAAATCAGAACCCCTTTAGCAGGCTTGGTGGTGGTCTTAAATTGGCCATATTACCTCTCCATTACATCACTGAGTCTGTTGTCGATGTGTGTGACTTGCTGTCAATAGAGGAACCGGTATTGATTTTTGTGGCCAAGTCGAGTTGAGGCACACCCTGTGGCCATCTTTGCGCCAGTATTGATCGCTGTCAGACCGGGAACACCGACCTCTTAAACCCGACAAACGCTTACTCACTCACTAAATCCAGTGAATTTCTAAGTTTATACTTTGAGATCAAACCGACACACACAGCTACCGGGAGACCACAGGCTCTTCTTACTGAAGCCTTAACTTTTTATGTCTGGATGCGTTAAGGAATAGTTCATCCATAAATTAAAATTTACTGACCCTCATGTGGTTCCAAACCCCCAAAATGACATACACCATACAAGTAGTCCATACGTCTTTTGCACTATATTCCAAGTCTTTTAAAGTCATAAGATAGGGTTGTGTGCCATATGTTAACCATAAATTATTATTTGATTCCTTTTCTGCTTACATTTTGGTCTGTTCCTCACACAAAACTATCATTCATGCAACATGAGCAGAATGCATTTGTGTAAATTGTTCATCAAACCATCCTAAGTGTACCGCCCACATTTCACGAATTAGCCATATGTAGATCAGGAAAGTAGACGACATGTTCAACAGCTTGACTTTGGCTTCAGTGTTTTTGTATAATTTCATCGTTTTCTGATTCAGCAGCATTAATCTGATTCGTCATTACAGCGCAAAGCTATCGTACATCTGGAGCCACCAGCCACGGCAAAGCGGACAGTGAGTTGTGCAGCTTATTAGACACGCAAGCTTTGCAATCAAAGTCCTCTGACAAACGGATTCAGCTTGCTAGGAGTTCGCCATGGTGCATGGGGAGCCCTTGAGCAGGCGGCATGGTGCCATTTGGGTCTCAGTGAATTATTCATTTCAGAAGGCGCTACTGTCAGTGCGCTGATCTTGATCGGTAGTGATGGGTATATCAGTCACGCTTGCGAGACACCGGAGCCGCGTCTTCTTCAGCAGTCTTCCTCCTATCATGGTGAAGTGGAAGCTAATAGTGACGTATCGTCTTCTATTTCTAGCCCTGCTGCGTAAGGTGGATTGTGAAATTGCTTTGTGGAGTTGCAGGCATGCAGGAGAAAGCATTAAATAAATAAATAATAGCTTTTTTTATGTCTCTGGTCGCACACGAAAGAACAATGTGGAATTCAAAATCATCTGTCAGCATTTCCGCACTCTTCATATTTCATGATACACTTTTGCATCTATTTATACCTCTTTTCTGTGTTGATAAATATGTTGGTATTTAGGAGTGGATATTAAAATACTGGCACCTGTAACGGGAAAGATCATGTTTCACCTTTTACAATAATTGCTTATGCATTTTGTTAAATATGTGCCAATATATATTCAGTGTTTCAGTGATATGTTCTACTAATAAGAGTCAAGTACTTTGGACACCTGACTATAGATCCACCCAATGTCCAAAATTCACCAAGTACCAAATATGTATTTTGTAGAGTAAATAAAATGGTTACTAGTGGTTCAATGGATCACAAAACTCACGGATCGGATTTCAATGTAACTTTGTTTTCCATTTATTATTTAAAGCTAAGTACTTATTCTATACCACAGCAAAAACTACTAGCCTAACTATGCAAGTTCAAACATGATTAAATACAAGTGAACAGCCAATAAAAATAAGAACAA